CATTTGAGCAAGCCCCTTTTCCTCTTGGGGCCTCACTTTCCCCTCCCAACCTTTGTCTCTTGTTTCTTTATTTTACACAGGCTGCAGGGCAGGGTTTCCCTCCCCCGTGTTTGCCCAGGGCTTAGCACAATGGCTGACCTGTCAAGCCCCAAGTATCTAGAGGAGACCCTGAGGACTGGCCCCTGCATGCACTTCCTTGTCACTAGATCCAAACCTCAGCCACCTCTCCTCTGCTCAGTGACTGTTGGCTTGATCTGCATGGTGATGGAATACGTGCTGGGCTCCTTGCGCCCAAAGGAGCCCTGCTCCATCACACAGATCCCTGCTGCAGCCCCGCTCCACACTCCCTTGCTCTCAAAGCCCTGCTAGTGCTTTCTCCATTCCCTGTTAAATGGCCCAACACAGCACAGTCTCATCTTCTGAGAAAGAAGAAATGCAGGTAGTTTGCAGTGGCAGCATAGATGCTTCAGAAATGTTTTAACACACACGCACAGTTTAGCACTCATTTAATCAAACAGGAGTTTCCATATCAGGTGAAGAGAGCTGGGCCAAGTCAGAGTCAAATGTTTTCCCTTCTATCTCTTTACATGTGCCTATCCATCAGAAAAAAAACAGTAGGGCCCATGCAGCACTACACTCTGCATTTACATGGTTGGCATACGAAAGCATGAGATATTTCTGTTCTCAGAGAACAGACAGCCCAGGAAATGCCAGGCATCAAAGAAGCCTAGGTTCAGCCCATATACAAATCCAGAGACAGACAGAGCTTGGAGTGCAAACTGTGCCATGTCCTGGAATAACAGAAATAGTGTTCCCTTTGGCAGCTAAGTAAAAACACTGAGACACTTTGGGAGAAAAAAGAAAAACCACACACACAAAGGTAACCCCACAGATGCCAGATTCCACTACTAGCTCAAGAGCAGTCTGAGGGACAGTTTGCACGCTCAGCACAAATCCTTCCAAGAAAGGCATGCTTCAGTCTCAAAACGCATTCAACACAAGTAAGCAAGCTAACCTTAGCTGCACTCAAAACCAACAGATTTTTTTTTTAAGTGTGAGAAGAGATGGGTCAAGCAAACATGCAGAGTTAGAGGGCCCTGGAATATTCAAATGAGGCAATGCATAATTGGGCAGAATTTTAAACATCTCTTTATAACTTGAGCAGAAAAGCATATTTTTAAGCTTCACTCTAAATAAGCAAATCAGGCTTTATTTTGAGCAATAAAAGTGAGATTCAAACTAGAAGTCATGCTATGGCAAAAGAGTCTTCCAAAGCTCTTGTCTTAGACTCCATTTCTACTTTGTGGGAGCGAAGAGAAGGGACACCGGTTAGGAGGTAAAGCCTTGACCCTTCCTCCAAGCTATAAGCTGCCAGAAAGCACTCTGGGGGCTCTGCAGTTAAGTCACTTTATGTGCTTTTTCCTCATCCCATTACAGCATTGCTTATTTTCCCCATAACACTCCTATTTTGTAGTTGCTATGACAATTTGCAGCATTACTTACACTGCTATATGCATGCAGAGATCAAGAGACAGGCTTGTTTCTTTTCCAGGATTTAATAATCTTATGCCTTGAATAGGAAAATTATGCTCAGTCCTGCTGGTTACCTGCACCAGTAGGCTAGTTAGATGCTCTAATCCAACATAACTCTGATGCGATATCATCCTCAGGCACGGATACAGCTTACAACCTACCCGTTACAGAACAGAAACAAACGTACAAAATGAACCAGTAACAGTAATCAAAAAGCCAGTGCACTCAAGCTGCGTTGTACTCCCCCTTCAGTTCGTGGAAGCAATTTTGAGGGAGTTTACAACGTAATGCAGAGAGAGACTGAGCAGAAAGGCAAAAATTCAAATAGGGGTTTAGGGGTCACATGCTGTCCAATTAACAGGCAAGGAGAGTCAGTCCTGTCCTTTGCTTTTAACACGTAACCTCGAGGACATGCATTACTCCTTCTGACTACCCTTGAACACATTTGTCGCCAAAGCTGCAGGGCTCCTCAGGAATAGAGCAGCTCTGCCAAGTCCCCCAGAAAGGGCTATAAAGACCAAGCACATCTGAGCCTTCAAACTAGTGCAGAAGGGCTCCCATTTGGCCACTAGTAAAACTTGAAATAATTATTTTAATCCTGTTTTGGGGAGGGGAAACAAATGGCTGTGCACGTGTCCTCTAGTTTTTAGTCAGGGTGAACCAAAGAAACAGTCAAATCACACTTCTGCTTGCACTGTCCAGTTATCAAGTATCTGCTCTTCCCCATCACCTGCCTAAGGAAGTGAAGCGCTAGGACCAGGTCGCCCCCAAGACATCAGTCACCCTGACTGCAACAGGTACACAGGAGCTATCAGTTCATCACAGCTGAAAATTTAGAAGTTCCACATCAATCTTTTCCTTCAATACTTCATTTTCCAATGGGCCTGCCTCTTCTTTTGCCCTCATTTACATAGAGCATCGCTGCTGCAAAAGCTACGAACGTACTGTAATATCCATAGTCTTAACATCTGACCCACAGCAACATGCTTGCAATCATCTTAATGCTTATCTGATAAACTAATACTTTATGGAAGCAATTATATTCCATCTATATTGCCCTGTATTAACGTACTCTGAACAGCTAAAGCACCCCGTCCCTCTCCTCCCTCAAAAAGTAATTCAAAATATAAAAAGAAACTGGATATTATCTGGCTCAGCAGGAGGAACCACTTGACATTCCTCAGTCAGAGGAGGCAGAAAGGGAGATTATTGTAAATTGGAATGGACAATCATGGGGTCGTGGCAGTACAATCTCTTGTCCCCATGCAATAACCTGCATTCGAAATGCTCTAGCCTGAGGGTACCCACTGTTCATAAATCAGCTGTATGGTTGCAGGGACAACCTACAGGGCCAGGCTTTCTCAAAGATTTATAACCTCCCCGCCAGCAAACGGTCTGCGAGTAGGCACAGCTAAGTAAGTACAATACCGCGTTGTTTCCTTCTGCGCTGGAAAACCCCGTGAACC